TATATATATATACATTGTTAATGCCATCCAGAGGAGGTGAAAGGCTACAAAGTTGATTCGTAAGATGTTCAGGTCCAAGAACCATAACCTCTGTCTTTTCTGAGTTTAGAAGCAGAAAATTAAGAGTCATCCATGTTTTATGTCTGTAAGACATGCTTGTAGTTTAATTAACTGGTTAGATTCATTATTCATTAATTTCTCGATAAACACAGAAAGTGAGAAACACTCCTAAACGTTTTATTTTTTGATGCACATCACATTTATTCTGTATTGTGTGACGAAATAAACCCTCTAATCCAGCAGGTGGCGCTGCCGAGTTTGATGATTAGTGTGAAAAACCGGAAGTTGACGTCTGTTGTCCCGGCATTAGTTTCCGCTGGTGTATGATGTCGTGAATTTTATTAATTTAAACCTGGTTTGTTTTTCCTCTCCATGTTGGATAATTTATTTTTTGTTGTATTTTTATACATAAAACGACTGTGAAGGCGGAAGTGAATGTTCTGTGTTCGGTGAGTATAAACAAAGTTAGCAGGAGGTGCTACTGTCTGAGCAGCTAGCTGTTTTAGCGACAGCGGCTCTGAACACCGGCTAAGCTMATTTTACACACCGCCTATAGTCTTATGTATAATTTTCTGTGCTTTATGCTTTAAAATGCACTAGTTTAAATACTATATATGTAGTTTGCTGTTATTGTTTAGATATATTTGAAGTAGCTCTGTTTTAGCATGTAGCATTAAAGCTAACTGTGGGAGTTTCCGAACCCTGCAGCTGTTTTCAGTTTGACGTGTTTTTATTGTGRCAAACGCGACTATTAGGTTTCAGTTTGGCCTTTTTTATGTTTTGTGGGAGGCGTGACTGTGTTTGACCTCGACCATGAGCAACAGTCATCCCCTGCGTCCCCTGGCCTCCGTGTCGGAGATCGACCACATCCACCTGCTGTCGGAGCAGCTGGGAGCGCTGGTGCTCGGTGAGGAGTACAGCGATGTCACCTTCATCGTGGAGGGGAAGAGGTTCCCGGCGCACCGTGTCATCCTGGCTGCTCGCTGTCACTACTTCAGGTGAGTCAGGATTGGATTTGAAGTTCTGGATGTGTTTCCTCAGCCTYATTTCTCTGGTTCCTCTGTCCTCCAGGGCCCTGCTGTACGGTGGGATGAAAGAGTCCCAGCCCCAGGCCGAGGTCTGCCTGGAGGAGACTCGAGCTGAAGCGTTCTCGATGCTGCTGAACTACCTGTACACGGGCCGGGCCAGCYTGAGTTCTGCCCGGGAAGAGGTGCTGTTAGAATTCCTGGGTTTGGCTCACCGYTACGGCCTCCAGCCTCTGGAGGACTCCACCTGCGAGTTCCTCCGCACCGTCCTGCACACCAACAACGTGTGCCTGATCTTCGACGTGGCCAGCCTCTACTCTCTGAGCGCGCTCAGCGAGGCCTGCTGTGCCTTCATGGACAGGCACGCACCTGAGGTGTTGAACTCCGACGGGTTTCTTTCGCTCTCAAAGGTACTTACAGTAACCATCCATTCATCCATCCATCCATTTTCTTCCACCTATCCGGGGTCGGGTCGCG